TCGAGGCAGGCGCAGCAGCACATTGTGCGTCGGTAGAACCGGGTGCCGCGGGAACCTCATCCGCTCGCTCGTTTGTTGCAGCATTGGTCGACTCCTCGGATTGCTCTTGGAGCTGTTTCACTGGCGGCTCGGATGATGTCGCCGCTTTGTCTGCAGAGAGCTGCTCCTCTTGCGGTGACGGTGAAGGAGTCGTCTCCGGCTTCGCTGCTTCACTCGCTGCATCTGGCTCAGCCTTGGCAGCGGGCGCCACCTCGGGTGCTGTTGGTCTAGATTCCGCGTCGGCCTTGGCGGACGGCTGCTGGGAGGCAGAAAGTTCCTGCTCGACAGCCTCTTTCTTGACGATAGTAGAGCTCTCGCCAGCCCGGTCGGTCGCGCCCTTGGCCGGTGCTTCTGTAGCAGCTGACCGAGCGCGGCCTCCATGAGGAGCCGACTGCGAATGCGGCGTCATCTCCCTGCTGCGAGTCTCGCTCTTGACCGAGGCGTTGTCCGAGCCGATCGGCCGGCCGGGTCCCTCGCTCGAGGTGGCGGGTGGCGGTGTGTTGTTTGATCGCGACAACGACGGACGCTGCGATGCATCAGAGCGTGCGTCGTCGGAGGTTGGGGGTCGGGTGGAGCGATTGTCCCAGCCTGCGTCGGACGGCTTGCCCCATTGCCGCATGCCGTTGGTCCATCCGGAGCTAGACGCACGCATGCGAGGATCTCTTTCGCTGGCTCGCTCGCGGTCACGGTCTCTAGACCGATCCGCTTCAAAGTCGCGTTCGCGGGCTGAGAGCGGTTGTGGTGATAGGGGCCTGCGGCCCGTAGGATCGCGCGAGCTGTACTTGCTGCTGGCGGGTGCTGGATAAGGAGCGGCCGAGTCGGCCATATCGTAGCTGAAGGGCGCAACACCTCTTTCTCGAGCCGGCCAGTCGCGGCGCTTGTCCACCATGTCTCGGTATGCTTCCCGCTCTCGATCCCGGTCGATGGCTGACCATTCGCGCTCACCCCGGAACGACTCCCACTCGCGGTCTCGTTCGCGTTCTCGAACGGCACCTGGGCGATACGTGTCAGGACCGCGTGTCGGAGTTGCCGGAGGATACCATCCTCGTCGAGCATCGGCACGAGCTGCCCCTGCGGCTGCGCTGAAACCGGCTCGCGAAGCTGAAGAGAATGAGTCGGCGCGGTGGGGGTCGCGGTGTCCAGACGGGTACGAGTACGGAGCGGATGCACCATACGCGCCGGCAGTGTCGGAAGGGTGGCCGTATCGTGAGCGAGAGGCGCCAAATGCCGAGGATGGACCGGGTGAAGTTTCGAGATATCGATCACGGTCGCGGTCGCGCTCTCTGTCCAAATTCATGTGCCTCGGAGATACGTAGCCGCTGCCGTTGGAGTGGGAGGGTCCTGCACCGCCGTTCTTTACCGCAGAAGCGTCCGGAAGTGGCGTTAGACGATCAGCAAGGGACATGGGACGCGCACCATCCCCACGGTAGGAAGGAAGGCTCACCTGCTGGTCGGCACCGTCGTCCTCGATCTGTCCTTCTTCGTCGACTTTGAGCATGCCCTCTTCCTCTTCGTCGTCGTCATCTGGTGGGTTGTTTCGGAAGCCGGCATTGTTGGATCCTGCTGGCGCCGTCTTCACTGCCTCTGCAGTTGTCTGAGGCCGGGAAGAGGTCGATGCT